TGATTCCCAAGTTCTTAATCACTTTTAGGTTCCTAATAAAACATGTCCATACATATAATTGTGATAATCATGGCTTCTCATAAAGAGATTCAGTATTTTGCATATAAATGTATATGTGTATGTTGGAGGGAGGGGGGGGGGGGGGGGAGAGAAGTTACGGTGAGAAGCGTAAGAAGAGATCTCCACCTTTAGATCAATCATAATAGAATATCAAGACTAATGAGGAGCACCGAGATGCACCAAATCAATTCCCTTATAAAACACAATTCATGGATGTAGATGAGATTAAAGTGATCAACGGTTTAAATCTTTTCTTATTATTCTCACTGTAACTTCTTTTTTCACACGATCATTCGCCTATATATAATGGGTGTGGATCAAACAAGAATATGACCAAAATAAGAAAACACGAAAAAAGTCAAATCACATGTGATTACAGAACACGGTCAAAGCAGCGCATGAATCATACGTGATTTTAGTATAAAATGACATATAATTTGTCTGTTATCGTGTTATGTTATTTAGTCATTATTTTCATTTGAACTCAATTCCATATGTACACATTTATTATTCATATTATATCTATTTAAATGATCGATTTTTTTATTAACCGAATGAAAAAACAAGCAAAGAGAATGAAACTAAAGACAAAAAATTGATGTACAAAAAATTGAAGCAAAAAAACAAATTGAACGACATCAATTAATAAAGATAATTTGTTTCTGTATACACAATCATTTTTTATGCAAGTTTGTTTACGTGACCCAAGGGCAAATATGGTAATAATTATATTGACTGTTAAATAAACAAATTATACGACATCAATTAATAATTATGTGAATCACTTTTACGTTTTTGTGAAACAAAAAATATACGTAAACGGTTTCATATTATGAACCAAATACATATGAAATAAACACAATGTAAAACAAATATATGCTAATCAAGGGATGTGTTCCTGTGAGAATAAAAGTTATAGCGAGAAAGGTAAGAAATGACCTCCACATCCGGATCAATCATAATTGAAGATCAACACTAATGAGATGCATCGAGATATACCAGATCAATTCTCATGAGAAACGCAATTCATGGGATGATGGTGATATTAAAAGTGATCAATGGTCCAAATCTTTTCTTATGTTTCTTACTTCAAGTCTTTAACTTCTATTCTCACATGATCCTTTGTCTGTTAATCAATAATTTAAATCTTAGCTTCAGATGAAAAAACCAATGTAAAAAAATATATTTAAGTAAAACTTCTCATGTTTCTTACAAATATGAAGTTTTTGTGTGATTTTATATCTCGTGCAACAATTCGGTTTGTTCGTTGTAATGTAAATCTTTGTATGACTCTTGAAGACGATACTATCAACATTTTTCCGTGCAAACATAGCTGGAAAATTGAGAAAGAAGAAAGAGAAAATGAAGAATAAAAGATGGTAAATTTAACTTCCTTGATTTTTCATCATTTCAACTTCAAAATTCCCTCTAATTCATATCAATCGCTGATCAAAAAATGGATGATCTAGATGGGTTTGTATGTTTTGTAATATTTAATCCACACCGTCGATTATCTACATTTAATCAAAGTGGTTCTTTAACGTTTTATCTCTGTTATGAGATTGGACGGATTATGCCCATGTGAGTATACAATGTGTTCTTTTAAGCTTTATCTCGGTTACGAGATTGGTTCACAATGTGTTCTCCAGCAAAGTGCATATAGTGAACGACCCTCATTCATTATGTGTTCATTGAAGTGTCACATATAAATCATTGTACTTCAACAGAAAAACTATTAGCATACAGTGAACACCTTTGCGAACCACTGTTTTCAAACACCTTCGTAAATCAATGTTTTTTTTTTTTTTTGTGTTCACAACATGTTCACAATGATGTTATATAAACACTTGTCAGAAGAGTGTTTATAAACGCCAAATTGTTTTATTTTTGTTATTGATATGTTCATAATGGTGTTTACGTAGTATTTTTTTTTATGTGAGAGGTGAGAGACGATCAAGAGAGAAGAGTAGAGATTTGTAATACCCATGATTTCATTTAATTAAAAGTTTAATTCAAGCCTATCAAAAGTACTGATTTCCTAATTTAAATATAATTTGTGGTTTATATTGGATATTATGGATCTCGCAAATTGCACGGATCTAATTATATCTTAGATTTTTTATATTTTAAAATGAGATGTTCATCCTCTATTTGATTATGTTTATCCGCAATTATTTACACGAATTCAAACATCGAGCTTTAATAAGTTGTACTTATGCATAATTACTTGTAATCTTGAATTTTATGGTAATATGCATCAATATACAGCATTTTAGGCATAACAAAAATATATCGATATTCGTATCAAATTAACTATTTAAAATCCCTCATTTTTTGTGTAATTTTTTAATTCAATTTTTTATTATAATTTAATTTAGGTACAATAACGAAGTAATTTATATTTGGTTTAATAATATAATTTTCTTRTAAATATAATAATTAATTATTTTGTTAGAACTCGATAATTATCCTAATTATATTTTAGATTTTTTATATTTTAAAATCATATGTTTATCCTCTATTTGATTATATTTATCCGCAATTAGTTATACGAATTCAAAAATAGAGCTTTAATAAGTTGTAGTTTTGCATAATTTACTTGAAATCTTGAATTTTAAGTAAACATTGGTTTTATGTGGGCTTGAGAAAATGGTAATATTTTTATTTTTGAATAAAATATAAATTTAAAAATATCATAAAATTTTGAAAAAAAAATATCGATATCAGTATTAAATTAATCTTTTTAAAAGTTCTTGTGTTTTGATGTAATTTCCTTGATTAAATTATGTTAGTTATCAATGATTATCATAATTATATTTTAGATATTATATATTTAAAATGAGATATTTATCCAATATTTGATTATGTTTATCTGCAGTTAGTTAGACGAATTCAATCATGAAATTTCCACCACGTAACATTGCAATTATTATGTGCATGATTAAGTGGGTAAGGGCTGAGCCCATCTTGGGCCAACATCAGCCCGTACTCCAGACCCACTCTTAACTGTTTCCAAATTTTATATCATAGCTTAAAAAAAATACCCCAATCAATGTATGTATGCATCTTTTTTATTTCTTTATTTATATATTTACGTAATTACATTTATCAAACTTATTTTGAATATAGATCCTAAATTTGCACTTGCTTTACCAGGTGACCAATGACCGACCAAGTTAAGTATTTATATTCCTTTGGGCATGCCACATACCAATTAAGAGATCTGTTTATCAACAACTTAACGAGCTTAATTAGATTTATAATTTATTCGGTTAGCTATAAATGATTGTTTGATAATTACTTAACAATATAGAACGCAGTAAACTTCTAAGGAGAGTTTTATACAGAAAGTGAAAATTTTCCATACATGGCCTTAAAAACTCTCCAAACGAGAACCTTCTAATCTATTCCCATAGATCAATGCAAACAATCAAATTTTATACATACACGATTTAATAAAAAACCAATCAAACAGCGAAAAATATATCCAATGCCAAACTAAATATAAGACAATTGCCCATATACTATTTTTGTGATGTATTTCCTATATTATTATTTATGGTTAACAATTATTTGTAATTCAAGCCATTAATAAGCATATTATTTCAGTAAGTTTTATAAATACACATTTTTATCATTAATTCATTTTTTTTATTAACCTGGATATCCAATCTGCTATGCGAGCTGACTAATCCTAGGATGATCACTTGTTTTGCAAATAGCTCGGAGTTATCGAATTTGAACCTCTATGGCCACAAGAGAATTTTTATTCCTACTTGGATTTGAACCTGAGACCTCCTGATACTTTAAACTTTTGGAGCCAAACTCAAACCAATCAGACACCACCCTTGTGCCGGAAAATAGGGGAAAGTAATGAAGTTAGTGAAATGTGAATGGGAAGATTCATGCAATATGGAGTATGGTAAAATCTTAACAGGTTCCTCAGTGAAATTGAAGATCAATGAGCTGAAGTGTATTAATTTCGGAAAACTATTTTATAGAATCAGTGTGATGGAAGAAGATAGCATCTCGTTGGTTTGCATGGAAGAGCTGATGGAATGCAGTGACGAGGAGGAAGAGGCCTCAATCCCCTCAAAGTGGTTAGAGGAAGACAGGAACGATGAGGACTGTTGTGTAGATGAGAGTGTATTTCGAATACAAGGGAGAAGGGAGCATCGATCATACAACAGTGATCGGAGAAGCCATGGAAGGAGCAGTGGGGGTGAATTCGGGAGCTGTGGGGGATATTCTGGCACCGTTGCTGGATACATCAAAGATAGACCAAAGGTCACAGAAAACCGAAAGGAATGTCAAAAAGAATACCGAGGAGGCTAATGGGGTTCCCAAAGTCAATGTTGAAATGTTAAGGGAGATCATGAAAGACTGAATTGTTTAACGAACAAAAAGGGGACTGAGGAATTTAATGAATTCATAAGGAAGTGCCAATTGTTGGAGATTCCGATGGGTGGCCAAAAATTCATGAGGATGAGCGACAATGGAAGAAAGTTAAGAAAATTGGATCGGTTTCTTGTATCTGACAATTTTGGCACGACGTGGAAATGTCTTGGGGTCAAAGCTCTCGAAAGAAAGTGGTCGGATCACCACCTGATCCTCCGTTCTGATAGTCGGGGTAGATTTCGGTTTGAAACCTTTTAAACTATTTGATACTTGGCTCTTTGAAGAAGGAACATTAACAATTTACAAATTTTTTTATTTCGGGGCTCCTTGGCTTTTTCTGGTGGTGTGGATTCGCCCCACCCGAGTGTTTTTTGTCTTTCGTTTTTAGTGTTTTTTGCTTGATCTGGAGGGGTCTCCCCCCTCCTTATAAAAAAAAAAAAAAAAAAACAATTTACAAATTTTATTAATTGAATTTGAATATAAAGTTTTATCTGACGAGAAAATTATACAAATCTCATTTTTTCACGTTACACAAATACACAAGCCACATGTGTGTTGGCGTTGAGCACCTGCGGCCATGGCGGGATTTAGGAATGTGATGGCGGGAAACCATCACTCCCACAACCCCTTTTAAACACTCCGCCCTCTCCTCTGATTTACTTCCATTCTCTGTTTTGAAATGGGTAAAAGAAAGAAGACTGCGATTCATGAAGAAAACATAGAAGAAGATGAACAAAAACAGCAAAACAATCGCGGTGAATCTTCATCTTCTTCAGATGATAAGAGCTTGTACGAGGTATCTTAGACTCGAATGCTGAAAAGAACTTGATTCTTTCTTCCTTGTTAATTGTGTAACATCCTATTGCCAATTTTTATTTAAACTGTTATGCTTCGGTCGTTGATTTAGGGCATTTTTTTATTTCATTTCCTATTAGATTGGGGCTTTTGTGGAATTGAACAGATAGGTCAAGATTCAAGTATGATATACGAGATACACTCGGCACAGGAGATAGTTCCCAAAACGATTCATTTTATATATCATTATTCTTGTCTAATGTGAACTGGCGCTAAACCCTAGTTTTTTTCAAGGACCTTTTTGTTTCATTTTTTGTTACAGTTTCATTGTTGCTAAATCTTATTGAATGAAGCACTGTACTATAACAATTTCAGGATGTCAGTTGACATTTGTTGAGGACAAATAGTATTGTTTTTTTAATGAAAATCGAATAATATTGTGTACTAATAGAAATTCTACAACGTTGGAGGGAGGGGGATTGGCCAACCTAAAAGGGGATTTGCCTCCTGTATTTAAGGGAATTGAATTTGGAGATTAACCGGTAGAACCTAGGGTTGAGGGTGTTTATAAGCATCTACCAAGTAATTGGTTTGCTTATGGACTAGTTCCCTTTTAAAGTCATTCTAGTTATTGAGTAGAACCTTTTGATGGCTTGACTGGTTTACAGTTGGCAATAATGATGTTAAAAATGGTTGTTTGAAAGGACAATATGATTTGGTTGCCTAGAATTCTTGTTTATTGCCATAAAGTATTTATATCTTTTGGAAGTTTCTCAAGGAGCAAGATATGGCTTGGAATCTGAAGAATATGGAATTCAGAATGCTCTAAGATTTCATGCTCCACCTCTTTCTTTTTTCCTTTTGATAGAGTTCCGGTTTAAGCAGTTTATTTTGAAAAATACACACTCGAACCAGCGTTGCCTCAAACTTTTCAGTTCTGATTTGGACTCCCTATTGGCTTGAATTACCTCTCTTTTTCATCCAATTATTAATCCTAGTTGCACAACTGCCTTCAGATCAAGAATGGAATAACCTATGGGAAACTGAACACTTAAATCCCATGCATGCCTATACACTATAAGAATTTTACTCTTGCAGTCTATGCAGAATACTTGATGGAAGGTAAACTTTACATCCATTTTCTGAATAAGATGGTGATAAATTTAAGGCCGTTCAACTGTTTAGACTTGTCATTTCATTGTCTTATGAAGTAGCCTTGCAGGATGGTACCTTTCATCTAATCAATTTTGCTGATCTTGAATTGGCTGTTTGAAAAACCATTTGTGATAGTCATAAGCTGCCCTATCTGTTTTATCCTTCTCAATTTGATCTAAAACCTGAGTTTTTGCCTTTGACTGGAGGCTGAGTCCATACTATGTGTTGCTCATAAATTTTGGTGCTTTTTGTTGTATAGACGATACTTGCTATGCTTGGAGAACATACATATTTTCTGACAAAATGGATCCAATAATTTCAATGTTTTTCCCTCGTGATTTAAGAGGCAGGGTGACACACTGATCTGAAGTTCTTGATTCTTCTGTAAACATTTTTGTTGTGATTTAACGGATGCACATATTTCCACTATATCTTGTCCTTTTTTGACCTTTCTTGCATGATCATGACACCATCTATTTGTTTGAGGAATCATGCTGCTTCAAGTCATATAACCTGCCTGATGCTTCAGTCAATTTTTTTCCCTTTCATAGGCTTAGAAGGAGATTGAAAATGAAGCATGATATGAGTTTCTGATGTTTTAAAGCAACATTTATGCTTGTTCAAAAGATAGATTGAAGATGTCAGGTTCAAATTAGAATATGAGTGAAGTAGTGATGCAAGATGCTTTCCTTCTCATAGTAGCTTTTTTATTCCATGTTTGGTTTATAGCTTTTACTTTACATGTTATTGTATATCCTTTTAGTGGTAGTGCATTTAATGCATATATATATATATATATATATATATATATATATCTGTACTTAGAGCCAAATTTTTTTTTTACATAACTCTGCCTTCTAGATTCTTGGGGTGGAAAGAACTGCATCTCAGCAGGAAATAAAGAAGGCATATCATAAGTTGGCATTGCGGCTCCATCCTGATAAGAATCCTGGCGATGAGGTGAAAATTGATATATCATTGGTCCATTCTGTTTCAAGTAATTCGTTAGCCATCATAACCTTTTCTTAATTTCCTTCTATATTTATGTAGGATGCCAAAGAAAAGTTTCAGCAACTGCAGAAAGTTATTTCGATACTTGGTGATGAGGAGAAACGGGCACTTTATGATCAGACTGGCTGTGTTGATGATGCTGTAAGTAACCTTCACCTCTTACTATTCGGAAGTTCTCCTAGGAATAACCAAGTGAAAACATTTTTGAAGTATATAATATTTATATATGGCAAATAAACTCACACACCTTCCTCACATTTGGTTCGGTTTGAACCGCTGACCTCCTAAGAGGTCCAGGTCCAGGTCCTGATAGGCCAAGCTTTTGATAACCAAGTGAAAACTTGGTGATATTATCATACAAAATACTTACTGCATGCCATATTATGCTCATGTAAGCACACCAACACACACATACACTATATGTTCATACACACATGTATATATATACATACATATTTGTTCATCATTTTCTTTATCAATCACAAGCACTGCCTGTCATATAAGGGAAATCTATAGCAACCATCATTTTACCCACCCACTCACCTCAATCCCTTCATGTGGTAAAGAAAGCAAGTTAATACATGTTCTCTCATAATTACAATCTCTCTTCAAGAAAAGCTAAAAAGATAAGTTTGGTGGTAATATGAGGAAGTTCCATAAATTTAGTCAATCGCTATTGTACCTATGTAATTATGCACAAAAGGACTTCTCATACCAGAAATACCATGAAGTTGACATCAAAACCTTAAATCCTCTTAATCAGTGATATACGTGATGAACCCTTTTTGGATTATAGCTGATGTTATATCATATGATATTATCTGGAGCTTTCTCAATCATCATCGTTGCACTCTTTGTTTTTTTTTCACTAACAGGATCTTGCTGGGGATGTGGTTCAAAATTTGAAGGACTTCTTCCGGACTATGTACAAAAAGGTCTGTTTCTTGTATAAAACTCCCAGAAACATATGTACAGAACTTGCTATATTTCCTGTTATAAGGTGGACAACACAAATGCTTGTGTAGGTTACAGAAGCTGATATTGATGAGTTTGAAGCCAATTACAGAGGATCTGAGTCAGAGAAAACTGATTTGATTGATCTTTACAAGAAGTACAAAGGTCATATGAACAGGTAGTCATCTTTAATCCTATACTAGATTTCATTTTGAGATCAGTTCTCTAAAGCTTTTATTTAATCTCCACAGGCTCTTCTGCTCCATGTTGTGCTCAGATCCCAAGCTTGATTCACATCGATTCAAGGATATCATTGATGAAGCAATTTCAACTGGTAATTGTTTCTGATTCTTCATTTAATTGAGTTGAAGATAGAAATTTGCCCATTCTAGATATGGTTGGGAAGAGATTTGTAAATTCTGTAAGACTTTGATGTCTTTTCAAAAAAGAATAGAACAGAGAAACCTAACCTTGAATTCAGTTTGTTGAGTAATTAATGATGAAAAAATGTAGAATATCTGATTTCAGAAATTGAGTAATGTAGTTGATCTTCACTTGCAGGAGAGGTGAAGTCAATGAAAGCATACCAGAAATGGGCTAAACAGATCTCTGAAACAAAACCACCAACAAATCCATTGCAGCGTAGGAGGAAGTGAGTTAATACTTTCTGAAATTTTGTTCATGTGGTGATTATAATGTTTTGGTTCTGAGAAACTAACTCATGATAGTGTTGTGAGTTGATACTTTCTGAAATTTTGTTCATGTGGTGATTATAATGTTTTGGTTCTGAGAAACTAACTCATGATAGCGTTGCAGATCAAAAAAAGAGTCGGATGATCTATACGCTATCATTTCACAGCGGCAAAGTGAGAGGAAAGGGCGGCTAGATGCAATGTTCTCATCCTTAGTTGGTAAATACGGTGGAGATGAACCATCTTCAGAACCTACTGAAGAAGAGTTTGAAGCAGCCAGGGAAAAACTAAAAAAACGCAAGGGTTGTAAGAAATCCAAGTAAACGCAATCTGACACCGGTACTCAACTCTTCTAGTATCCTCTCTCTTGTAGGTCCTGTTCTGCATGTTGCCTTGATAGACTTGTTTTTAGGACCTTCTTTGAATGTTTATAAATACTTGATGGTGTCGTCTCTTTTTCCTTTTTTTATAAAGAAAATGCAATGATGGTTTTGTTGATGTCAGTTTGTTTCAATATAATCTGATTGCAAAAACTGTATGCATACAAGGATATATATGTACAGCAAGATTTTCTATAATAGTCAAAAGTTAGGATGCAGAGCCTTGATGATCCAACTCATGTTCTGCTACCAAAATACAAGAATCCCCTTCCAAAGATGATGACCCTTCACTCTTTTTCCTCATTACCCCTGAATCTTTCAGCATCTCCGTCGTACACTGGACGTCCGGTGCTATGCCAACTTGATCTATGTCGTGAAGTGCTGGCGATAAGTACTTGGCAACCGTAATAAAAAGAGCCGATCCATCATTGAGTTCGGTCACGCTCTATACAGTACATCATTTAAACGAATCAAACTAAGGTTCATGCTAAACAAATGTCGTTGAGACACTTGCAAATGGAAAAAAGATTCAAAGAATCACCTGAATCTTTCCTTTCCCGAAGGTTCTGTTCCCGATCAGCTTTGCCCTGCCGTTGTCGTGTAGTGCACCTGCCAAGATTTCGCTTGCACTTGCGCTCCCTTCGTTAACCTATATGCAGAAACAACACTTTTTCCATCAAAACCTTGAAAATCTGATAGAAATATAAAGAGAATTCAAGAAAACTTACAAGCACAACTAACGGATCATGTGTAAGAGCATGCCCGTTAATCATGTTGATTGGCAGCATGTTCCCGTCTCGATCTATTGTGTTTACTAGAGTCTCATCCCCATCTAGCCATATTTGGGCAACATCTAGTCCAGCTTTCACCAAACCACCCTGCAGAACACACTTCTATTAGTTTTGGAAAAGAGAAATAGAACATCACTAGAAATATCAAGAAAAGTCAACTTTTGGGTACTTGCCGGATTGTTTCGAAGATCCAAAATGTACGACTCGACACCCTGATTTTCCAATTCATGAATCGCATGTTTCATATCAGCAGCAGCAGTCTGTTTACAAGAGTTGGTTCCATCACTTGAAGATTTAACCGCCAACTGTTGTTAATGTGATATAAACTAAATCTGAATTCGAACAAGTTAAGCACCTGAGAGAAGGCTAACAACTTTACATATCCAGTCTTGGACACATGCCCATCTGAAGTTCTATGAGGAATGATGGCACTCGATATCGGAGAAAGTTTAATGAACTCGCGAGGCAATTTAACCTCTCGAAAACTAGAGTCAATCGCCAATTTTTTGCCCTGAAGAACACAAACCGACATCAGAAATTGCAGAGTTTGCACAAATTTGTAAGAAAATTAAGGTAAAGCCTACATTGTGCACTTTGACTGTAACACTGGTACCAACATGACCTCTGAGCTTCTGCGCAGCTGCCTCTCCGCTAACACCATCAAGACGCTCTCCTGGTTGTCAACAAGATTCAGTATTTCTATCACACTTTTGACTTAAATGGGAAACGGTTTGTGGGAAACTTGTCAAATGCAAGATGAAAAGTATACCATTGCCAAACAAGAAATGAAACAGGCAAACAGATAAATCAGGGATAAACTGCTGTTATCATACCATTTATTTCAACTAATTCATCTCCTACATGTATACCAGCTCGATCAGCTGGGCTACCCTCAACGCAGGATAGAACAATCTGAAACAAGAAAGTCCAAATAAGTCACAGATTTACGAGTATAATATGTGAAAAAAATGGACGGAGTCACCAACCAGATGCCCGTTTTTTGGTTCAGTATTGACAAAGAGACCAACTCCCTGCACGTTTCCGTCACTTCCAATTCTAAAACTTTGGTATTCCTGCCCGTATGAGTCATGAATAAGCATTAGATTTCCGTTTGGTTTCCCGACTTAAAAGGACAATAAGGGAAGTCTAACGAGGGAAAAACATGATGCACCTTTGGACTGATAATGCGAGTGAAGGGATCTCCGAGAGTAGAAAGCATTCCTCTGATCTTGCTGTATGCAGCATCTGCTGTTCTGAGAGGAAGCATTTCTACCATTGTTTGCTGTAGCTGTGAATCCCAGTCTGCAAAAACATGCCTTTCTTCATCAAAAAACTTGTAACCGAATAACCGATTTTCCATTTTGATCTTTTTCAAAGTAGGTAGTTCTGATAATCCTGTTGTATAATGGAAAGAAAACAGGAACACATGCAAACAAATCCTACCCTGATGATTAAAAGTTGGATCAACAAAAGTCTCTCTGATCAACCCCCAAGTCTCTACAAGAGTTCGTTGAACCGCATTCACCTGTCCAAACAGATTATCATCCTCGTAAGCTTCTTATATTCATATTTTCCAAACAAACCACTCAAAATAAAGAAAATACAAGAAAGACGATGAAACACCTCATGAGTCCGAGAAGCTGGGAATGCGATTGTCAAAGATTCAGCGAGAGCCGGAGAATCCAAACACACAGAAACAGCAGCAGCAAACCCAATCAAACCTTTAGCAATTGAATGAACCAACTTCTTGTTGGATTCAACTGGGTTGGCTTTTTTCGACTTACCACTGAAATTGGAACAAGAAAATCGGTATTTATAGGACAAAATTGAAGTGGGTGTTTGAGGGGTTTTAGTATAAATTGATGAAATGGGACAAGGGTTTTTGAGATCAAGATTATGGCGGTGGAGAGCGTCCATGATTCTTGGAGGAAATATCCACCGAACTTGGGGGAATTAGAGGTTATATGATGAAGGATTTTTGGGAAATGGGTGATTGATGTTAGAAAGAAATATGAATCTTTCTTGTAAACTGTAATTGTGGGGTGTGAGTTTGTTGCGTGGGCGTAAGAATGAGTTGCAGTGGAAGAACCTCATGTGTTCCTCCACGTCGATACCCATTTGTGGCTTCAAAACTTTTGAAAGCAAATTCCATCAAGGACACGTGGTGCATGGAGATTGAACTATTTTTCCTAGAAATTTTATGAGTTTTTATAATTTTGTAAAATATTTAAAATGTTGAAAGATCTTTTTGTCCTATATCAAGAATGTCTCTCACATGATAAGTTAGGCTATTTTTGTAATTTTGTAAACAACGATTTATTTCTAGACTTATCTCCAACGTTTTTCAATTACCACTGGTGGGTTTTCTTGCATTCCACTATTCCTCATATCTTTCGGTCTTGCCATTGGTTGTGGAGGCAAACTATAACGAGACCTATCATTATGCTTAAAATCTCTGCCTTTGAGTAATTTGTCTAGATACAAGCCTTACTTGAGAGCAAAATGCAAATTTATGATGGTTAAAATTATACTAATAAGAGTAATTATCTGGTTTATTTATTTCCCACAATTTGAGATCATTTCAGTAGTAGGCCATTAGAGTTTAATAATTTCTTCCATAGCTTACTGTTCGTGTTTGGTCGTAGTTGCTTCCATACTTTTTATTAGTTTTGTTTTTATGTCATGTATCGTTATTTTACTTCAAATTATTTGCTTTGCGTTGTCTTGACATCATTCATCCCTTATATATATACGCACGCACGCACACACACACAAGGTTGGATTCACGTGAGACAAAACTATTTTCGTGAGACACGATTTTTACACTTAAAACTTCTCATGATAAGTTAGGCTATTTTTGTAATTTTGTAAAGAGAGTGCTAATGACACCCCTAATAGGGGGTGTAAAATGCTTTGGAATTTGGAGTTGCTTTAGTTTCCATCAAATGTCAAAGTCAATAATAATATATTATTTTTTTATTTTTATTGTTTTATACATATATATATATATATATATATATATATATATACATTGTATAT